GTCTGAATCGGGACTAAGCTAATAAACACTAGTGATCCCTAAGCCTATAAAAAATCTTGTTTTCTTTTGTTGTAATATGAAGAATATAAAGAAATTAACGATCATGCACTGAATAATAGAAATTGTTTCACAGCCATATCTAAAACCAAGCCACAGTGAAAACTAAGGCGCAAGGGTCCAATTTCCATTTCACGGGCTTAGAGCGAAAACAAACACCCATTTCAAGGGTTTAAAGTGAAAACAAACATCAATTTCACGGGCTTAGAGCGAAAACAAACACCCATTTCAAGGGTTTAGAGCGTAAAACAAACATCTATTTCACGGATTTAGAGCTAAGACTTATTAATTGATAAAGATCAAAACTAACACCCGGAGCTGGATTTAATAGAACTAATGCCACAACAGTACGATCTTAAAGATAAGCTCAAAATGATAAAACATCTTTGCAGATAGCTCCAACAGAACATTAATTCATTTTTAAATAGCTATTAAAGCGTATTGAATAATTCAAAAAAAATACCAGAAAATCTTTTCTAATGTTTATTGTTGGATTATGACTTTCTAATACATATCCCTATCTGATAAAATGATGTTGTATAAAGCTGAAGCAAAATACAAGGGTAAATTGAATTTCGCGATTCGTAATTTCCCACCTGCACTTCCTTTCAATKTTTTAGTGGAAAATCGGTCAATTAAATGGAGAGTTAAAAAAAAAAACGTTTTCACATACGCTCCGCCTCTTTGACATTCTGAGTGATTGACAGTTTAAACGAGAAAAACCAACAGCACAAGGGGTTTTATCTTGCTCATTGGGATTGCAAACAGGAAAACGWTTTTGACACGGCGTAAGTCCTAGAATAATACTTTTGAAGTTATAATTTTCCATCATGACTGAAATAATAAAATAAATTATTCACAGTACAACAGAACAGGAGAAAGCCAAGAATCACGATTTGAGAGTCCGTCACAACCTAATTAGCAGAAAAAGATGAAGACCAACCGAGTGATGCCATAGTTCTCCCAGGTGTAATTACCTTGGCTGAKATAGTTCAAATAGATTTAACCACACATATACCAATATCTTACCACGTTCTCTGTAGGCACTTAAGAATCGTTTTTAGATTTCAACATCAAGTAAATGAAGATAAAATAGCTTTCTTACCTATATATCTGACCAACAATGGAAGGCTCAACCAACTTGGTTGGATATTAAACTTGTACTCTGCAGTACTTAACTTATTAAAAGGTGAAATAAGTCTAYATTCTTTGTACAATTACATATTATTTTGATGCAATCGTGTCAGATTATCTTCTAAAAACCAGATTACACAGCCATAAGCCCTTATCGAATGCSATGACCCACTGAATAACATCAGCCGATCTTTGCCTGTAGATAATTTTCACAATAAATCCTTACTAATTTGTACACCCAGGCTTCCGCTTAAGAACAGTCTGCTTGATTCGCAATTAGACGYTTGCTAAGAGGTGTCGTTGTGGAAACGAACTTGTGACCAGTCAAATCGACAGGGAAATGRAAACACAGAAGTAAAAACTGCCAATTTATGCGAAAAAAGCAATTAATTTTTACGACACCCTAATCCTTGTTTGATTTCAGCTAAAATTGCAGTCACACGCCACCATAGCGTTAATTTTAAAAACTCCGGTTTGTACCCAATACAAATTAACATCATAATCTACCAAACTGGGCCTTTTCATTATTATATTTATAAATATTGCTCGTTTAAGTAAGGGKTATTGTGCGTCAATGTAGTCATTACTTGGACAAAATGCCGCCTTATAATTACGTTGCCAAAGGACAAACAAAATTGGCCAATAGCCCTGTGTATGTTAGGTTTTTGACGCTGTTTCTAATAAGATTTGATTATTTTTGAAGACAACCTCGTAAATGGATGGGTAGGCATGTTATCTATTTTGCAACACTTATCCATAGAAGGATAAAACAGGAAGTTTTCGTTCTGGCTTCCTTGAAATTTTTTATTAATTCATAATCCTTTCTGTTATTTCTATTGTATTCTTTTGATAATTTGACCATATTTCATTTCAAAATGTCTTTCGTTAACATCCGTTTACTGAATTCAATAGGATTTACGATTATGTACGCGCTGAAATTGACAATCACACTCGTGAAACTTGAGTTRAAAATACTCAAAAGATATGACGGGAACCGAGCTAAAAGGCAAACAGTAGCGAAACCCAACGTGAAAAGTGTAATAGTTAATAGAGCTATCTTTTAGTCGCCATATAAAATCGCGCGCTTTAAAGGTTGTAAATTTGATGTAAATAACTTCCATAAAATTTACAGAATTTTGGACATCTACATCATATTTGCGATTTTTTCCAGTGTACACTGGAAAAAATCGCGCGCTTTAAAGGTTGTAAATTTGATGTAAATATGATGTAAGTGTCCAAAATATGTACATTTTACATCAAATTTACAGAATTTTGGAAACTTACATCATATTCACACCAAATTTACAACCTTTAAAGCGCCCGATTTTTTCCAGTGTGTAATATTTTACTTCTCTATATATTCCACTTGATGACTACGAAATACTCATTTATACGTCTACAACAGCGTTTACCTTCACAAGTTTGCATTACCCTTGTTCTCATAGTGCTCTTCAATTGTTATCGAATGCTCAAAACGTGTTCTCAAATAAATGATCGAAAAACAGAATGATTATTCTAACACGTTTCAGACAAATATTTCGAAATCCTGCTCTTGTTAAGTAAATATTAGAACTTTAATTAAAATCCCTAAGACAAAATATCCATGGGAATAGTTTGCTTTTTAGCTGCTATTTAGCACTTCAAAAGAAAAAGAAATTGTTACCTTATAAGTCTGTCCACGACTTTGATGTCCTGAAGATAATGGCGGTTYTTCCATAAATAAAGAGGCTCCAGTCTTTTTAGATCACACCTCCTTTTATTGCCTTAAATAGCCTTTAAAACATATAAGGCTGTCGCCAACCGTTTTCCAAGTAAATTGAGTTTTGGATACTGTCAATTATCGTATTTWGATGAATACTTGGACTCCCACTTATCGCCTGACCATACTTTATCAATACTGTTTTTCTTAGGAATTAACAAGGACTTCCTTTACTTGAGCCATKTCTACAACGCACTGCATAAGCACCGATTTAACACACTTCTCCATCCATTATTATTAGGTCACAACCTAYGAAAACAACCACCTTCTTCTTTCCCAGCTGGTTCCCCTTTTGTTAGATGTAGTGCGCGTTTAAAGTAATGGCACTTGACAGTTTAGATTCAGTATGTGCATTGCAGATTCAAATGTCGTCGTCTTGTCAAAAGTCGGCTCACTCAGTAGTTCTGGAAAGAATTGAAAGCTGTCAATTTTACGGCTTTTTYCCAATTATAAAAAGCTCGGACTTAAGATTTCTGAAAATATAAGCAGGATAATTACCATAGTAATTATTGTAATGAATACAGATGTTTAATTAGTGGAAGAAAAACATGATTTATAAATAACCGCATGTTATTCAGATATTTAGGGAACTTTGGCAACGAGTACGAGTTGTGTACGAGTGCGAGTTGTAAACCCGGCGTTATTGGACTTATTGACGGTGTTCTTGATCCTGAAGTGCAGTCCTGAAAATAGAGTTAAATAAAAACAAGACGTGAGATTAAATCTAGTATCAATCTATCAACATCACAATGAATGCGATTTTTTTTTCTTTTCTGCGGCGTTTTTTCTTTAAAGGAATACAAATCATAATCAATAATGCACCTACTCGAACTCAACTTGTACTCAACTCGTACTCTTTGCAAAATTTAAAGTTCCCGATTAAAAAAACAACTTCAAACACTAGCAAATGTATTTTCCATGGTATAATTGTAGTATAATATGTCACTTTAGTGAGTAAAATGGTTGGTAGCGATATCTAATCTTAAATGTTTCATGAAGACTTTTTTGCATTTTTTTTCTAATATACAATATTAAAAATGTACTTTTGGGTTGAATACACCTTTTTCAAAGCCCAATTAGAGTGAATCCAGGGTTAACTCCATAGGTTATCTAAAAGTTAACCCACGACAATTAGCAATACTCGGTCTTTGAACAACCYTGTCCCTCGGAATACAGGCTTAGCCTCACATCGGAGAAAGTTTCTAATGCTATTATAATCTTCTTTTTTTTTTAATTTTTCTTTTGTTTTTGGTAAGTTCTCTGCGCAAATGAGTCTGTTTTCTACTAAAACAGTGGTTACTCGCTTTGAATGAAAAAAGGCATACACAGCACCCAACAGACAATCAGAGGTTTTTGAACAAACTGGTACCYGTTTTATCACAATCACTTTCTACTATAAAAGCAGCTTATAAGATCTATCTATTAGCAAGGGCTTTCAAAAAAGTTCAGTGTTTTTTTAAAAATCTTTTAACCTACGTGTTTTCAAATAGCTAATCTACACCTGGCATCGGTTTTTGAGTTGAAAAAAAACAACAACAAAACAATTGCAATCTTAATTTTAAATGAAGAAATTATGAAAAATGAAAGTTTGAAAGTTCATGAAAATTTTCTTTCATTTTCTTTCATTTTCATGAAAAGGTTTTTGTCTAAGTGTGATAAATATTTTTATTAAAATAACAGTACTTTTATAAACTTTTTACGAGTGAAACAAAATTACAGCCATCAGCGCTGAATGCTTTTTGCGAAAATTTTCACGTTTTAGTCTCACAAAAAACAAACACAAAAAATACGCAGAAAACAAAGTGTTATAAACAATTTCCAATGATCAAAAAGCTTTTAATAAGCCTACTGTGATTGACACATGACTGATTACAATCATCCGAAATATTTCAAGAGRAAACTGTCAAAATCTCACTTGTTCGCGGCTTAGTCTTTTGAAGTTTTGATCTCACGCACACAAAGACAAACTGCACGCAGAAATCAAAATGTCAAAAAAAGGACGTTTTAAATTGAAATCAGATATGACATAAATAAATAAGAAGTTGTGGTTAGCGTGATCACGCAGCGTGATGCCATAGTGTCTTACCGAGATTTCATTCAAATAGAAAAGATCAGAAAATGATGTATCCAGGATATACCACAGGAATCCCGAGTTTGAATTCTGGCTTTCGTGGTGGTCGTCGATTTTCAGTCTCAAATTTTCCTCGAGCTAAGTGCACTGGATACGAATATCAAACCTATCACCTGACTTTCATCTAAAAGCGTCAATGTCGGCAATGATGAATGTTAAGGCCCGTTTACACTTGCGATTTTTGCAGAGCCGGCGATTCTAGCGGCGATTGTCGCGCGACCATCCCCTGAGTTTCGAACATGCTTGAAAATTGGCTGCAACTTCGCAACAATCSCAGGGCTGTTTAAACGTACGATATGAGTTGCGCGATAGAAAAGTGGCAGATTAAAAGACGGCGATTAATGAGTCCTATTACATATAATAAGAGCGAGAAAGAAACCATTAAATTACCCATGATGCAACTGATACAATAATATATGCCACAATTAGCGTGAATAGGGCATTGAATTATTGATACATAACATAACCCATCTTGATCCACTAAGTTCTTTTGAAAAACAATACATTAATTAGGTAAAAAGACTGCTAACCACAAAACATAAAACAAAACAAACCGAGTAACAATTATTACTTTAGCCAAAAATTATACATTTTATGTATACATTTTATGTAATAAAATATACATTTTAATAAGTTTCTCTCTGCTTTCCGTTCTTATAATTCTACAAAGCATATTATTGTGTCATAATTTGCTGAAAATTAGCATGTACATTTTCATTAATGTATATATATATATTATTATTGTTGTTTCTTGGTTACTTAGAAGTTTTGCATTTTAGACAAAGAGCCGCGTGCAAACACTGAGTTTTGCTGAAGATATTTATAGTATTTTAAATCGAAGCCAGAAAAGAAATCTGAGAGAAATACTTACCCACAAAGGCGACACGGTTCTCGTCAATTCATTCTAGTAGTCACTCAAACCATTGAACATCAGGACATAAACACACTTTCAATAGTTCTTTCTTATTACAGTTAATTGTTTAGGCGGCTAATGTCGTCTTTCTGTAGATGTTTTGCTCGCTGATATCGACGTTTGGACGCCTTTCCATAAGAGTATTTTAGACCCACAAATTACCTCTCAACTTCAATGAATAGAAACATCYAACCTCAAAYGTTTATGACGTGTAAACAAATTTKKACAACAAATTTAAGAGATGTTGTCGACTTTAAAGTTGAATAAATAGGAACATCTAACCTCAAACTCTTATGGCGTGTAAACAAATTTGTACAACAAATTTAAGAGACGTTGTCGACTTCAAAGTTAAATAGAAAAATGTAACAACGCTATGTTTTAACAATTTTCATATGATAAAATACTTCTCTAAGACATTATTCATAATTCAATTTTGTACAAACTTGCTAAAAGTGCATTAAGCCTTGGGTAAAATACCAGGCCATTGAAAATGACGCGTTAGAATTCATAGAACAATTTAATATATTGGTACGCCAATTTTTGTAAATGGACTGATAAAGACAAACTTTACGTTGGCCCTTACCGGTAGCGCTAGGATTTGTCTTTTGACGCTGACAGAGAAGTACGACACATTTGACGCCTTAATACATCACTTTAACAATATAGATTTCTGTCGAAATCCGACGATTGGGTCGTAATGGGAATTATCTCATATAGGAAACAAAAGTCACGCGAAAGTGTCATGGAGTATAGTGCGGACATTATGAAGCGTTGCAGCAACATAAGATTGGCTCAGATTTAGAGGTCCTTATTAAAAGGCCAAGTTAAGGAAGAATACTCGTCCAATTTCGAGTTCTGGTTTGCTCTGTGTTAGTCTCAAAACCAAGTAACATTTCTTTTGTTTCATTGATAGCTCGAGAAAACGCATGGAATTTGTGAAGAAAGACAATAAATTTGATTTGAAATCTTACACTTTTACGCTCACAATAGGAATATTTTGCGCACAAATGAGGCTAACACAGAGCATTGGAGAATTCGAAACTGGAGCATTTAGGAGACAGAGGTTTCGTGCTACCCAATCACAGGACAGTAACCGACCTCTCCGTTTGACTAAAAATGGAGGTTTTGGTAGGCCAACTAGGGCAGTGAACAGTGATCCTATTTATACTAATTATTGTTCTCGTAAGGTCATACTAGCTATCGAAATCGCTCCGCCAATCCGGTAATGCACGAAGAAATTCTGTTTTTCTTTGCACATACAACGAGGTCCACCTAATCAGTTAAACTCTTCCGGGGTCGTGCAAATGCGCGGGAAATTTGTTCCCCAAAGACACTAACGATCCATAACAGAAATTCTAACCAAAGCACCAAACGAGATAATCATAATTTCAAAGCATAGATAATACTTACAAAATTCCACAACCTTCTGGTAAAGTGCAACCTCTGGTATCTATGAGTAGATCTCAATTTTYAAAATCGCAGCCTCAGAATGATTCGTTGAAAGGAGCAGTAATACGGAACATGTCTCCAAAAAGGCCCATTAAATTGCAAAAGTCACTTAGAACTCGTGAGTCAAATCAACAAACAATGCCTGTTGTTTCAAGGGATTATGCTGCGTCCATAAGTACAAAATCTAGCTTAAGCTCTATACTCAAAAAACGCCCTCTCGTGTTGTACTAAACCAAACTTCCCATACTCCTACGAACGATTTCTCGTATCGCTCAAATAGTGCTTTGAATGCAATAGTCTCCTTCACGGATACCTGCGCCATCTTGAAAGGTAGCCGTGCCTTTGCACCGAAGCGAGACGACCGTTGAGCGTGCAATGATAGATACCTGTGGATAATTGTCTATAGGTGTGAAAAGAGGTTTCTATCATTGCAAGCTCAACGGTTGTCTCGCTTCGATGACAAGGCACGGCTAGCTTTCGAGATGGCGCAGGTAACCGTGAAGGAGACTATTTCAAACGGTAATTGCGAAGTTTTCTCGGACGTGCAAATTATTATCTAAGGATTTTGTTACCATCACACTGCCTTTGAATAAATTAACTCGCAAAGACGCACAATTTGTCTGGACCGCAGAATGTCAAATAGCATTCAATACCTTGAAAAAACGTCTTTGTGAGGCACCACTTCTAGCATATCCAGATTTTAATACGGAATTTATCATACATGTGGATGCAAGCAATTTTGCCTCAGGCTATGCTGTTCTTACAGAGTACAAAATGGTAAGGAAGTAGTGATTGCATATGCCGGTAGAGATTTGAATGCAGCTGAACGTAATATAGAGAATGCCTCGGTGCGATAAGTAGCATCAAGAAGTTTAGGACTTTTCTGGGTGTTWGYYATTTKACTGTCTATAYYGATCACAGTTCAATGACCATGAAGGACCCCCAGGATCGCTTAGCGATTTGGTGCATGTACTTACAGGGCTTCCACTTTACWATTAAACATCGAGCAGRGAAGACGAATGAAAATGCAGACGCTTTGTTTAGAAGAACGTATGCCGACGATCTTAACGTTATTGACATCCCTAAGACTGTCGTAGATCGTTGTTTTCAGAAACAGCGACAGGATTTCAGCTCTAAGCGATTTGATTT